AAATGAATCCAAGGATGTGATGTCAAATCAGTCGAAATCAGTCGAAAAGTAATATTGTAACTAACTATAATATTATTACAGAAATGTATTAGTATTGTATTAGTAAATGTATTAGTTACACTACTAGTTACTGGGGAAAGTCATATTATTACCAACACTGATAATAACATTAAGACCCAAGCTGGGTGATATGTTGCGCCAGTTGCCAACATAGAAAAAAACAGTTCAATGTAAATAATAATAATAATAATAATAACGTTGATTTATAGCATTATTCAAGGTTTGCATACCAGCAAGTGTTAAATTAAAGTATTCTGGAAATTATAAGGTTTTGTATGATTACACTGAATAATTTAAATGATACATGTGCACACACGCCAATCAAAAGTCAAAATGTAGCTAAATTTGGCGGAATTATAAAGGTCAGAATTGGTACTAAATGGAGAGCTGTTTTGCTGAGCTGAGTCATATGATGCAGCCATCATTACTGACATATCAGGAGACAGCGAGATCAGGAGCCGGTTGCACTAGCTGTTCATGATTTCAAAATTAGCCTTAGTTATAACGTGTATACTATAAGTGGTTACAAAGTGGAGATTTATGCATCACTAAATGAGAACAGGTCATATGTAGAGATCCTTATAAATATGTACACCCAATAACAGCCAGGTCTAAGTGTAAGTGACTAACTGAACTGCTAACTGAAGCTACATGATGACCCGAAAAGACTGAAGTAACGGAGCACAGTTCACTCGACATCTGACACTTAAAATGTGTCTTCAGCTGTCAGTATTGATTAAAGCCAATAAAAGCCCGATAGTGACAGGAAAGTGGGGGGAGGAAAAGGGTGTAGGGGGGGTTGGTGACATGCAGCAAAGGGCCACAGGTTGGAGCCAAACCCATGGCCCGCTGCAGCAAGGACTCAGCCTTGGAATATTGGGCACCAGCTCTACTAGATGATCTATCCTTAAGCCCTGAGAGGTTTTTTTTTTATTTATCACATGGTTAATTGCTTTTAGTCAGATGTTGCTCCAGATGTTTCCTAGCAACTGATATACCATAAAGAATTTGCTACCAAAAACATTTAAAAAGTTTAAATGGAGCAAACTGAGACTAAACTGAAGTAAATGACTAGTTTAAAACTTCCTTCAAAGCGTAAAACTTAGAAAGGACCTGTTGATTCTGTCTGAGTGCATTATAAGTCATGTGTCATACAATCTTACCCAGGTTATTCTGACCTGGCTATGGCGACAGCATGTAGATCTAAAACCACATTACTTCAATACACAGATGCAATTACAAACAGTCATTCCAGGTGTGTGCCTTCATGCAGAAGCCAGAGGACAGTATTCATTAGAGTTCAAGGCCTCTGTGTGCATGTGAGTAATTTAATAGTTCACACTTTATTCTCAGTTTCAGAAATCATTACCTGCCAGTTAACAACAACACTGATGTATGGAGGTGACAGTTAATCAAGAGACTTGAAGCCATTCTCACTTAATGAAAAGTGACAGTTTGTAAGTTATTGTGTATTAGGTGTCTTTCTCTATACAGCTAACACAACAGAGCTTTGTAGAATTGATTATGATCACCCAGCAAAGCCTTCACTAACGGACATCTATAGGCCCATTTGTGGTTCTGTTCATAAACACACCAGAAAACAGCACAAGACGGCACACTGTACACGGAAGATCTTCAAACTACAACTAAATAAACCTTTTAGTTAAGGATAAAAGGAAATCCATCTTGCTGCTGTATGCATGAGGACTTTCAATCAGGCTAATTATTCCAGACAAATACAGATGAGAGCAAGACACCTGGATATATTTCCAGCAAGTAATCAAGCAAAACATCTAGCGATACATAAAAACATGAAATCATGAGATGTGTCTGCTTCAGGCCTGTAATTCACCATCTGTCCTCGTCTGCAACTAGTGACAACAAACACCCTGTGATTCTGGAGATCTGTTTTCAATCAATAACTGAGGATATCATGAGTTTTAGTTTTGAGTCAAGGAAATATGACTGCAATAAGCACGTTTCCCTCAATACAGATACATAGATGACAAACAACTCCCCCTTCCCTGAGTTACTGTGATGGATAATCCAGGCTGTTTTAGGCCCATTACCTCAACTGAGGCCTGGCCATTTCCATGACAACGAGTTACTGTATCTCTGTCGAAATCGGTCCAGGCTCTAAGCTAATGGGTTATTATTATATGACTGACGATGTTGAGTCATTTTCTCTGCCTTGGGCTGATCTCCCTTGATTCTGCCAGCACCTCCAACTCCCCCCCCCCCCAACCCTGCAGTCACAAATGCTATCAGGAGCTCTGAGTCAGGATGGATTGGACCCGGTCATCCCGGATACATTATCAGAGGCGATTTGATTTCTCTGGTCAACGCTGCATCATCGTATTACACAGCATCACATCTGATCATCTTTAAGCGGGATTGCTATGGCTCGATAGATTGTCATGTGACAGACTGCACTGAAGCTGCTTCTCCATGGCACTACTTCTCTGAAACTTCGGAGTATTTTTATGTGAAATATAGCATGTCCCCCACAGAATCTAGAGCAATAATCAGAATTGTAGTACTTGTCCAATACTTGAATTTATGACCAAATATCTGCAAAATGAAAGATCATCAGCCTCAGGTGTCCTTTGTGTTTAGTGCTCATTAGAGAATGAATGTTAGCAGAAAAGTCTTACATTTGATTTTTTTTTTGATTTTCCTTACTTTTGTCACACAGTTTAAAAGGAGAAAAGAGTTGATTGTAGTGCTTTAATTAAAATAATTGGACTGCAACACAAAATCAATGATGAAATATGAGAAGAATAAGGCAGAACAATACTGAAAGGCCTTTTGGGGTTTTGGCAATGTCCTAATACAACCCTATCTCTAACAGTCTCACATTAAACATCTGAGAGAGCGAGACCTACAAATACTTAATCACAGCAAAGTAAAATGAAGTACAGAAAAATATAAAATGTAAAACTAGCCACAAACAACACAAAGGATACAGAATAAAGGGCAGCATCCTCCCCAATAATATCACTAACATCATTACTATGGAAATTACAGTAGCATAGAGATGAATAAGTCCTTCTCACATCAACATCATGTTGTACAGCTTTTGTACTGGTTTGCATTAAATCGTTCATGTTGTGTTGTTGTGTCCGTCCCCTGTATATGACCAGTAAAACAGTTAAATGCAGTTCTTATCTAATGGCTGCACTTGTCCTAGATTTATGATTTTTTTTGGTCAACACAGTTTTCCATGAAGTTAGTATTTATTTCTCAGGTGGACTTTACTTACAAAGTCATGGAGGTTTCAACGGTTCTGAGAGGATACAAGTAAGAACTGTGTTGTTTTGAGACGCCTGAGTATTCAAACAGCACCAGTAAATCTCATTCCATGGCTCACCGACACTGCGAGATAGCTTCCTTTAGAATTCAATGGAGTAGGAAGGTGTGGAAATTATTTATGTTAATATAACTTGGGAACATTTCTATCAGGCACTGTAATAAAAGAAAAATGAACCATGATTATAAGGCCCGTAGGGTATTTATTTGAAGTGTAAATAAAGAAAACACTACAACCACAAGAAACAATTTCTCTCTCAGAGAGGCCTTCTGAACTTGTCCAACGTCTGGTCCAAATTAAAAATCCAATCCAATAAAAAATATTAACTCTTTCCTGCGGGGCTAATACAATTTATTGAAGTTTATTTTAAAGTTCAATATTTCTGAGCAAACCGTATTGATTCCAGTGGATATAAGTTTGAAGACAGAAGCAAAATCCCCACTTTTCAAAGAGCCGTGCTTTGAAAAGTTTTTAAAACTAAGTTGCATCAGGTGCAGTGCCGACAAAAGGAGTCAGATCCTTCGCTAAAAAGTACTGCACTGCAAGTCCTGAATTCAAATGTTATATGTTAAAGTACAGAAGTAATGCTCCTGTCAGTGTTATATTAATTTTGAGTTATTGCATTCATGTAAAAGGCCTCCTGTCGTGAATAAATAAAACAAAAACAAATATTGGATTGGACTGGTTCAATAGGCCAGGAGCAAAACATGTGACATTTGAGCTACAACACGAAATGTCAATAGTCACTTCTGGCCTAGGGAGGCCCTCAATGTCTTGGCCCCTGGCAATGTGTTCAGTATCCATGGATGCATTTAAATAAAAGCAGTGTTTTTAGCTGATTATTAGCTGGTCAAGAAGGAGCTAATTATATTGACTCTATGTACACTGCTTGGTTGTTTAACCTATGAATAATAATAATAATTACTTTACTTCATCGGCAAAGTAACATACGCAGGAGGGAAATATATAAGTAGAGTTAAAAGGGCAATATTATATTTCTCACTGAAATGACATGAAGAATATCTATCTCTAAAGTATGTAAAATAAAAATACTCAAGTTAAACAGGCTACACACACACATACATATATAACACTGCGGGCTATTATATGTGCACCAAGTGTTTCACTTAAGGGAGGGAGGAGGAGAAAATGTTCAAACTGCCATTGTTGAAGGAAGCTGGTGAACACTTTGATGCATATTGCACTGTGTGAGGAAGAGTGAAACAGCTGGGACTGAATTAAGCTTTATGATGAAGATAGTAAGGAAGCAGGATGACTGTTACACCTGCACCGACAGAAACACGTCTGCAGTGAACGCCACCCGCCTCTCCCTCAACAACACTGCCCTTGAGCAAGGCACTGGAACTACCTGGCGGCTGCCCGGGTATCGAGCAGCTAAAGCAGAGCCGAGCCTCTGAGTAACCCCATCCTGTAGGTGTTTGGCTAATCTTTTTTTTGTCGTTTTTTTGGTCTGTTTGAGTATATATATATATATATATTTCAAAATCACGACACTATTTCGTTTGCTTAACCCTCCCCGCGACGAGCAGCACGAGCTACTAATCAAGCACAGACGTGCACCAACGTGCTTTTTCAGCCCGCATTTTCTTGGCGGACTAAAAGCTGCATTCCGCCCCACCCCTTTACAAACAACACCACCACACTGTACCTAAATCAGGAAGCACAGAGACACGTTTTTTTTTTCTTTCTTTTTTTTTTTTAACGGAGACACTTTGGTGATTACAACAACGGCGAACCATAAAGTGGGAAAAAGGCGTTATTGTCGATGTTGTTGACGACCACCGTCGACCACTGCTGAAAGAAGACTGACAGTTGGTTACATCCAGTGCAAGGCTCAGCTGTGGATGCATTTGACACAGACTAACCGGAGAAGGGTATGTGCACAGTCGAACTGGTTCAATTCACAAATAAGACAAATACAAAGGCGAGTAAAAGCCAGTGTAAAAGACAGCTACACACACCGTTACTATCGCTGTACTGGGTTTTTTTTTTATTTTATTTTTTTAAACGCGGTGTAACGATAGTAAACATGTTATCCACGTCGACTTGTTTACAGTGCGTTACAGTCGTTTCGAAACCTGCAGGGGGAAATATGCTCGGAATGTCATTTTCGTTCCCGTCCAAGTCTACCGGACTCGGTGTAAACCGTACGTAGTAAGTGTTGTTTAATAAGCATCACTGCCACCAGACAGTGCCACTGCTTTGTCATGTGCTTTGACAGTGTCGCCCCCCCCTCCCCACACAGCCACCACTACTACAACCACCACCCTCCCTGCTGCCTTCTCTCTCGGTGAACCAATCACGGCTAACACGTCCAGCAATTTAACGCTTCTTTGCTTAGTGGTAATAAAAGTCACGGTGTCGAGTGAGATTAAAGGCCTGGTGTCAAACATGAGGTGGTTCTCTTCAATTCGGCACACATACAGCACGCCAAGCAGCACTTTAACCCTATAAAATTCAGAGTTTTGTAAAAATGCTCGACAGTGTTTGCTACCGGAAACCTCGGTGTGTTTGGTTGGCGGTGGACCGTCGCACCAACAGGGAAACCAGCTGTTTAGTTTAAACTTCATGAAATGTGCGCATTGATAGGTGGACCACATGTATGCCGAATGTATTAGAAGGGCACGACGGTTCTTTTAAATGTATAAATCATGTTACACGACTTATGGCAATATTCACCAAAGCGGGTCACCTTTTAAATTGGAAGATTTTAAAAAGAGTTTTGCGCCTGTACCTGAGGGACGTGAGAAAGGAACATGGCAATGTTAGCAACCCCCCAACTGCAGGCCTACTGTCAGCAATGCTTTGGTTAAACAATGTTTGTTAAAGTGTATTATATAATCCAAGCTTCTCAGTTTGTTTGTTTAATATTGTGGCATACTGTAATTAATAGTCATTTTTAACTGTGACTACATACATAGACACGAACCTGTTGACATGTGACATTTAAATGGTCAGTGCACTTGAAATTCAGTTCACTTTAACAGAATCAGCTTTATGGTGGAATTAGAGAGACTCAGTCATTGTTGCTATTACATAACAAGTCAAAAATGACTTAATTGATAATGTTTGCAGTCTTTTTGGAGATGTGTTGTTTCTCCCAGCTGTTGCTTTGGCAGCGTCGTATGTTGTTGTCTTAGTTGGTGGATAGACCGGCCAGCTTCAAGAGGCTAAAACACACACTGTACAGCCTGGAGGAAATGAAGTATTACATCACTCTGCATCCTAAGTAAGGACCGTTCTGTAGCAAGCTCCACTTGTTACTCGACTACGCGTGAAAACAGTGGAGGCCTGTAACAGAACCCATATAGGTTCTATTGGCTTTACTCTACAGAACAACTGCTGACCACTGCTGTTGAGGCATACGACCCTATGGAAAGATACTGTGTGGGCTATCGTTGTTGTTGTTCCTGCTGTTAGTTTCATGTAAAAAAACAACAAAAAAACAAGCTGTGACATGCTCAGTTTCTGTCGCTGCTATGCACGATCTATAAATAAAATATTCACACATGAGTGGTTGCCTATGTCTGAACTGCACTGATTTACTGAAGCCTGCGGCCATGATTGTCCTCTAGACAAGGAATACTGAGCAAGGTAACCTCTGGCTCTGTTTGACGCACGCCGCTTTAATCTTCACCGTTTTCATCTCTCTTCCGTTGACAGAGATAGACCACAGAGCAGATCATGTATCGGTGTCACAGCCGCCGTCACCCGTTGTCGGATAACACGATTGTGCGGCTGTATCATTTTTAATACATTGAGTTGCACTGACAAAAAATGTCTTCGGTGTTAGCTGAAGGATTTTGTGGAACGTCAAGGATTACCGATTAGACAGACAAGCTTGTATTGACCTAGACAAAGCGGGACGCCAGCAGTCGCAGCTTAACCCTCGCATAACTTGTGGAGAAGCTTGGGCTTGCCTGCGACTACCTGAGCCTGCAACCGCGGGAGTGCATTCCTTTGCATTCCTTTGCATTTTACAGGATTTGCCTGAGCTCAGCCAGGAGAGGAAAATGCCCAGAGGTTTGCTCAGCCATCACGTGCGTCACTTGGCATTCCTTTGTCTTCGTGAGAGCAAGACGAGCCTATACCAACAGGCCCTGAAGTGTAGTTTTGCGAGCAGTTACGTGAAAAGTTTGGTGTTTGGTTATTATTTTCCGTACACAGTGAAGTTTCCCGTGCTGCTCAGCCAGTGTGTGCTTGACTGCACGCTCTCTCTCTCAGTTTTGCAGGTGATGCACTGAGGTTAGTCAACTTCCGTCCTCTTAGACTCACAAACTTCCTCTCTTTTCTCACTTCCCCTCCTGTCTGCGCCTGTTCTTGGCAAACAGGTTGAGTCACATTACCGCCTTACAAGCCAATAGCGTTGTTCGTTTCTGCCCAAGGCGTGGTGCTGCCAGTCAACTCGGCGCGCCACACCGACAGCGCATCTTGTCATCCGCAGCGGCGTCACAGCCTGCAATGTGTCAGCTGCTCATAGTGATCACAGCAGATGGCAGAGTTGAATATTTTGCCCCCAGATCCGAGTGGAGAGCTATCTTGAATTATGTGACAGAAACCCCAGGTGGCAGCGGTTGTGTGTCTCCATTAAGGAGCACTGAGCTTACGCATCAGACCCGAGGCTGTATCACTAGGACACCCCAGGGAGGGACGGGAGGTGCCCATGCATAACAAAGCAAAAACAAATACATGCTTGAATTAACAAAGCAATAGCTCTACACAGCATTGGACCCCTGGGAGTTTTATTTTTCCGCTAGAGTATAATATTCCCTCAGAGCCACATGTGCTCGTCGTAGAGGGGATTCCAAAAAAGAATGTTGCAGAGGAACAGCTGTATATCTGTCCGTACACTCAACCCCCTTTCCCTCAAAACATCACCGTGTGTACAAGAAAGCGGCGGGTTCTTGAGCGTCACAGTGATATTTCATCACCAAACTCCGAGAGCAGTTATCTTATGTTTAGAGAGCAGGACGCTTAAGGAAGCCGCGGCCCCGACGTGTCAGACGGGCAGCGGGAGCCCAGAGGCAAACACTGCTCCTGTGGGTGGTGGAGCTGCTTCAGTTCGGCCAGACGGCCACGGCTGACTGGTCACCGAGCTGACAGCACTCTGACTTCTCCTCTAGCCTGGTACGCACACTAAAATCCCGTATCAGCCCACACTGGTGTCATGTTTTAGCCTGCCTCACATTTAAGTACCTCGCTTCGTCATCTGTGATGTAAAAAAAACCAGATGTCCACATAGTCAGAGACAGTGTGCTGCTCATAGTTGAGTAATAAAACAGTTTCTCCTGCTGGGCAACTGACAGCTCTTTCAGCCGGCGAGTCAGTCACATTGGATGGCAGTAGAGGAGGTTGCACCACCGCCTGGTTCATTACCGGAGCAGAGAGCGCCGGAGCAGCCTCCACTCCGCCTCGCTGTCCGCCGCCACGCTCCGCTTCCGTTTCTCTCACCCTTCTCCACTTCAGTCGTTAGATCTGTGGTCATTTTGCGA